ACACCACCAGTGGGATGGCCCAGCAAGGAGTCTGTCCCCTGGCTGAACTGGAAGAGTGTGGAGGGGTGCTGTGTGCTGTGCAAACTGAATTGCAAAGCCTCTCTGCACTACCTAGCACTTGTGTTCTAAGATAAGCGGGGATGACACACTGAGTGTGGAGCGTGTGTGGAAGTGAGGAGGATGTGGCACACAGTGTGCTCCCTCTGGGCCTAGCTGGTGGCTCAGTTTCAGCTCTTAATTTTAGCAACTGATTTTAGGCCCCTTCAGCAGCACATAGTTTTGTTGTTTCTTTAAAATCCATAGGAGTGAAGTGTTCGACCCCTTTACCGGCAGGAGGAGAGGATGGATGCATCTGTCTGGCTGTCTGGAAGCAAGATGTGGAGGAGTCATGTTGTCTGAGCAGGCAGGAGGTGCTGGTGGGTCCCCTGAGGATCCCCCACAGGCAGCACAAGCGACGGGAGGTTTGTGATTGTGGGTGTCATGATGCTCTGGCTGGTCGCCCTGGTGAGACCGCTGGTGAACAGCAACCCCCAGCAGTGGGCACAAGCTCCCTCTGTGTTCCTCCTGGTGTGGCAGCAGAATAAATGGAGACTGGGAGCCCTGGTGCAACAGGGGGCTGGAAGGGTGTCCGTTAGCACCCCCCATTGTTCCCCCAGGGCAGGACCCGGACACCCCTCTGCATCACCGATGTTTAACAAATCATACTTGAGACTGACAGTTCAATTCGGTAGCAGGGTGGACCTGGCTGTAACCCAGTGGTGGGCTGACCCTGCTCTCCAGCTGCCTAGAGAAAATCCCTTGTGTGGCTTATGTCCTCCAGCATCACAGGATGAGGATGGAGCTGGCCCTGTGTGGCTGGCACCCTTCTGCTTCACTGCAATGGCAGTGGCACATCCCATTGCCATAAAGGCAGAGACAAGTGGCAGCAATAGGCATGTTGTGCCAAACTGATGTTCGTATGGCCACTGATAAACAACCCACAGTTTCTCTTTGGCTCTAGGTCCCCTCCTGGAGGAGGCTTGGGCCATGTGCTCATCAGTTCCCTCTGGGAAGTTGTTCTCTCAACTGGAACTGTGCAGAGAGAAGTTGAGGCTTAGGCTGGATCCTGCACCACTGCTTTCCTGGTGGCTGGCATGCTCCAGCCAGTTTCAGCTGTTCAGCAGCTTAACCATCACCCATGAACCATGCCAGGAGGTCTTGGTGATGGGTCGGGGGGTTATGGGACCAGAGGGCTTGTGGCCAGAAACAGTGAGGAGCAGCTGCCTCCCCGCAGCCTTCCCAGCAACCCTAGAAGTGTTTTGGGGCTGACAGTAGGTTTGGCTGGAGTCTTGAGTGCCAGCATGGCTGGGCATGGTGAGAATCCTGAGAGCATCAGCAAGGCTTGTTTGCTTGTCTCCTAACAAGATGAATTCTTCCAGCAGTGGGAGATGAAGTAGATCAAGTTGGTGGCATTTGAATTCCTGAGCAGACAAGCCTGACAGAGTGACAAAGCCAGTCCCTGCAGTGCCCTGGCTTGCCTTCTGCTTCCTGGCAGGCACCAAGGGGCACAGCATGGCATGAGCATCCCAGCACCTCCTTCCATTTTGGCACAATTCTGCCGGATTTTAATGACTGCAGACTATACTGGAGTTACCTCATCATGTGACCCATAGCCCTGGAACTGTTCTCTTGCCTGCACAGGAAAGCAGGGGCGTCTTCCATCCAGGAGGCTGTGCCCAAACTGCTCCGTGGGCAGGCGATGGGGTCTGTTCCTTAACAGACAAGCAGGGAATGTCTGAAACCCTGGTTTGGTGCATAGTCCTTGTTGTCCTTTCTGATGCATGAGACATGGGGATGCTTCGTTCATAGAGGGATGAGGCCAGCCTGGAGAAAGTCCTGCAGGGAGTCGGGGTGGTGGGTGATCTGGAAACAACCCAGGAGTAAAGACTGGGCACAGTGCTGTTACACCTGGGAAAGAGGAGTGCAAGAGTCTTCCCCTACATAAACCCTTGTTTCCAAGAGGTTGGTGACCAGCACCACACCATGGCCCTCAGATAGGCCAAGAAGGAGCTGGCTTCATGGGAAGCCACGGGTCTGACATAGCAGGATTATGCTGGAGCTGCTGTGCATGTCAGGACTGAGCTGTTGGGCTCTGGATGTGTTGGTCTTTGCTGTGTATGTGTAGTTTGACTGTATGGATTGCGTGCAATAAATCTTATGCTTTGGGTGCTTGGTGAAGAGTCCTGCATATAAATAAGCTTTGTATGCTGCCGCTTCTGTCTTTGCTAGCCATAGGAAAGGCAGCCTCCTGGCAGGAGCTGAGAATGGAGGTGGCACAGCATGACCTTGTGAAGGAAGAAGTCCCCTTTTCTGCCCTACTTACTGAGTCCTGCTATCCTAGCCAGAAGCCTGGCCCTGACATTATTGGCATCCCACTGTTCACCTCTCACTGAGCTCCTCCGCCCGTGTGAGACTGCATTTGAGGATGCTCCATCCTCACTGACTGGAGGGCTCTGTCTTGCAAACTCCACATCCACCTTGCTGCTCCATCTGCCTTAGCTGCACAGCGAGCAAGGGGCTTCCTTCTGAGCTGCAGAGAGTTTTATTGCCTGTTGAGTTTCTGTTGGTTTGCCATGTTGTTGAGCTTTTGCTAATTTGCTCTCTCTTTATATCTTCACCTTTGGATTTTGCTCTTCAGTCTCTTTGGGTTGTTTCTTTCCTTGCAGCAGCCTTGCAGCCTTTCTCTCCACCAGGATAACCCTAAGCCTGCTCTATCCTATGGTGACACCCACGTCTTGGTTGCACTTTGCTGCACCTCTGCCTGTGCTTGCCTGGCCTCTGCCTGCCTTCTTATCTCCTTTGGGATGATCGCAAGGATGATCTCCCTTGCATCCGCTTTGGATTATCTCCTTATGCATTTTGTTTAGTGATTCGCTTATCCATTTTTGTTGCCCTGGCTCTCCACCTCATCGCCTCTGCCCTTTCCACAAGTCTTTATGCAGCCTCATGCCTTTGGTCCCAACCCAGAAGGGACAGCATTCCCAGCTGCCACCTTGAGTGTGAAGCAGCACTGTGGAAGTCAGTATTATGGCTGTATAATTGGAAGAGGAGTTGTAGCAGCCTAGATAAACTGTGGGGAGAGGGTATGTCCCAGATCTGCTCTGTAGGAATCCCAGAGTGGACTTTGGGAAGTTGGTCTTGGAGGACAGACTTGAGCTTCCAAGAGGTTTTAGACTGGTTAGAGATCTCATATTAATTTAGTGAAGGTCTCTTTGCTCTAAGATCCTTTGAGTTGTCCCTGTCTGCATTAAGTGGTAGAGGGCCAGCTGGATGCATTCAGAAAACCTGCAAATCTTTGAGATGCCCGTCTCTGGTATGTGTTGCAGGAACCTAAAACCAAATTGAGCTGAAGATTGGCTGGTGGGCTTGTGGGGCAGAGCGGCGCGGAGGGTTCTTGTCTGCGTTGTTGCTGCAAAAGCAGGAGTGAGATGAGCCGCCTCTGCTCTGCTGCTAAAAACAGCCCGACTTGTTTTTATTTAATACAGTTTTGATCTGTGTGTGTTAGTGTTTCACCTGCCTGCAAGTGGGAACTCCAGGCTCCAAGCTCCTCGGAAGCCTGCCTGTGTCCCTGTGCATCCCTGCGGCACCAGGCTCACAAATGGGGCTTCTCATTGGTTGGAGGAGGGACTCTGCTGAAATTCAGGCTCAAGGGCTATGGGACGGGTAAAGTTTCTGCTGAGGTTTGTGTTTCTGCCACTATAATGCCACTGGGTAAACTGGGGCCCCCCAGAAACAGATCTTGTAGGCTTCCCAGGGAAAATAGACCTGAAAATGGATCACGTGGGGTTTTCTCCCTGCCTTGCTTGCACAGCATCCTCTCAAGAAAGGAGGTGGCTCTCCAGGTGGCCTGGCTAGCAGCACCGGGGTAGAGGGTTGGCATTGGCTCCTCTCTGTTGTAGGTTCTGCCCAGTGCTGGCATTTGACTGGGAAATAAATAATTCAAAATCAACTTGGTCCATTCCCAGGGGTGAAGAGGGTCAGGAATGAACAGGCTTTTGTAAAGTCATGATTGATGTGTACATAAAGCTTGTCCTCAGAGAGGGCTCACCACTGTCTTCAGAGAGTCGTGGAGGGATGGGGACCTTGCTGAAGGATGTCTGGGCAAGCCATGCCAGGGAGGAGGATAAGGGTAGTTGTGGTAGGGAGGAGGAAAAGGAGGACAGTCAGGGCAGGAAGGAGAGGAGGATAATCAGTGTGGTTGTGGAGTTAAACAGAAGCTGCCAGTGACTGGAAAAAGAGAAAGAAATAAAAAGAAATCTCCCTGGAAAGACACTGCCTTTTCAGCCGCCCCTCTGCCAGCAAGCAGCAGGCGGGCAGGCAAGGAGGGGGTGGCACAAGGGGTTCAGCTGCTCCAAAGCTCAGCACTGGCACCCTGAGAGCCCCCCAAGCCCACGTTTCGCTGGGGGCGATGTGCCTCCATCACAGGGCCCTGGCATCCAGGGGAGGCTCAGTGTCTTGGGGGTGGGGGGGAAGGTGGGGTGAGGAGAGAGGAGGAGGGGCAATTGTCTGAAATGCCAGGAATTCATCTCCCACTCCCCTTGCCTTCACCGTTCTGAAAGGAGCTGTGTGAGCTGTCAGCTCTGGATTATATTAATTAGCAGAGAAGTGCTACGCCTGCTCATGGGGCCGCACTGCCAGGAAGAGCTGGGGACTTGGCAGGTCCATGCGAAGCAGCTGCCGGGCTCCCCGAAAACCCTCACTGCAGCCTAAAATGAGCACACCAAAACCAAAGCTGAGCCGAGGAAGCTGAGTCTCCCTAGGGCTTTGGTGTCTCCTCCTTGAGTGCGGCTTGTTGTTCACCCCTAGGGCTGAACACTGAGGTTGTGACAGGGAGAGCAGCACTCCAGTTTCAGAATGGGACCCACTGCTCCTCAGCAGTGCCCACAGTGCTGCAGGTCCATGTGGTGGGGGGCTGCTGGGATGGGGAGTGAGAGCACATCCCTGACCCTGCTGTCTTTCAGGAAAGGAAGCTGTGTGCCCACCCTCGAATTGAGATCTACAAGGAGGACCGCATCTACTTTGTGTGTCCCCTCGCCCGCCAAGGGGACTTCTACGTGCCTGAAATGAAAGAACTGGAGAGGAAGAGCAGGGCTGCTGCAGCTGAGGCCGAGGACGCCCAGACAGACGTTACAGGTACCTGTAGCTTGCACAGGTCTTGAATCAGTGTCAGGCCTCCCAAAGGTGGGGGTTCTGGTGCCCCTGGTGCTGCTGCCTGTCTGGGGAGAGAGGGGCTGACCAGCACCCACCTGGCACCCAAACACTGAGTCTCAGCACACCTCTTTCCTTACCCCAGACTGAGATAGGATCTTGTCCCTAAGCTGTCACACCACCTTGGGGAGCACTCGGGCACCCCTTCGCCCTGTCAGGCGAAGGCCAAGCTGCAGCGAGCTGATGGCCCACTGTTGTCAGAGCAGAGCTGGATCTCGCAGCTTTTGGTTGCAGCTGGTCTTGTTTTTCTCCTTGTCATATATGTCTTCCTTGCTCTCATCTTCATCTGTTACATATTGGGATTGCAAAGAGCTTAAATACCAGGTTGCTGTAGCTGGTGGTGGAGTTGCCCGATAGCATCTGCTCAGCAAGATCTGTTGGAGTCTGTACGTATTCGTACAGGAAGGGACCACAATGGCTGTAGGCACAGAACAGCAGTGCTATAGTAACCCAAAATGCTAGTTGCTGTCGCCAGCCCACGTGCTCACATGTCTGCGAGATGCGGGAGCTGGCTAGCCGAACATTCCCGGGCACTTGAATGGGGTGGGGGCAGCCACCTCCTCCTGCCTCATGGGTCACCACGCTTGTGTAACAGGCATGAAAAAACGTGCCAGCTCTCCCTGCCTCCCTGGGAGTTTGGTCGTTTGTTTTAACACATCTTCAGGTTTGGGTTGCTTTAATTCTTAATTGCATGCAGCGTAAAAGCAAGTCTGGGAATCACTTTCTGGGAGCTCTGGAGTCCATTTACTGCTGTAATGAAAAGTCTTCATTGGAGCAGTTTCCCAGCGCTTTGAGGTCCCGTGTTTTCATGGTGCTCACTCAGCTCTTCGCCTTTTTGTCAGCCTGCCCCTGGGATGCCACCGCCAGCATGCCTGTGGTGGGGGAGTGCCCTACCCTGCTGGAAGAAGGGCAAGGAAGGTCTTCCCAGTTTTAGACAGCAAATGATAGTGGACTTTCTTATGTAGGAGACCATGGGCTGGGCTCCCCAGCAGCAGCTCTGGGCCAGATCCTCCACCACCCCTCCTAGTCACATAGATGAGCTTTTGTCAGTGCAGCTTGTTGCAGTGTCGTCTGCTGAGTCTGCACAAAACCAGCTTAAAATAATAATAGCTGTGAGAAGTTGGCCTTGCCTCTGAGACTAAAGAGTTAGCTTGAATGTTGCACTGTGATCACCATTCGTACTGGGCATGGCAGCAGAACCAGGTCCTTGCTTCAGCCATTGGAGATGGCCAAAGACATGGCAAGCCTTCAGATTGCTTATGCCACTCCTGCCTGAGGGTCTCGGAGGTCTCCATGATCTCCTGCATCCCCATGATGTTGCAGTGCCCCAGGCTGGCACAACTGCTGTCAGCTGGGGAGAGTGGCCCTGCGTGGGGAGATCCTGGGCTTGCACTAAGGGAAACAGTGCCCAGTGAGTGTCCTTTTCCCACTGCCTCTGGCCTGCTGATGCTGGAATATCGGTTGCCAGTGGTACTGCTCCAGCCTCGGCAATCAAGTGGCCATTGAACTGTCCTAGTTAAGCAGCAGGGTCAAAGTCAGGAGGTGAGGTGGGAGAGGATAGCTCTCCATCTTGCCACCAAAGTCCTGTGTGGGTTTTCTGAGCCCTGGTGCAAGAGGAGAAGCCACTGGAGGGGGCAGCCGGTGGATCCCCCCTTGCCCAGCTGCTCGCTGGAGACACCTTGAAGGAGAAGCCTTGAAGATGATGCCCTTATGGATTGAGACTGGTCCTCCCTTCTAAAGTATTTTTTTGTGCTGGGATCTGCGCAACCATTTCTGAGCTGGAGGAAGAGAAAGCCACAATCTCTTTTCCCAACTTTTTTAGTCTCTGCTTATTCAAGGAGCAAGCTCAGCTTAGCCACAGCATGATAGCCAAAAGATCTTCATGACCCAGAAAATCCTCAGGTGTCTGTGACAGCTTCCAAATTTCCTTCCATCAGGTGGAGGGTGGGCACCACAATGTCCCCATCTACTTCTCAGTGCAGTCCCCCCTCCAATCCAATTGCACAGATTTGGGTTATTTCTTGATCCACCTCAGCTCTGCCAGTGTTTCAACTGGTCCTGCCCTGACAGAGGCTCAGGCACTGCTGGGATGCTGCTGGGAAGGGGGGGTGGTCTCCCCTGTGGCACTCCACTCCTCTGGCAGTGCCTGAGCTCTGCAAATCCAGACATGGGGCTCTGACTCCCTCCTGCCTCACAGGGCAAGTGAGGGGACTGGGGAGGTGGTGACCCCCTTTTTCTCTCCCTGAGGCAGCTGAGGATGCTTTACATACAGCAGCCTTGGGCTCTCACTCCTGATGTGGAAGCAGCTGAAGCCTGCTCTCCTCCCGAAATACTGAAAAAAGTCAGCACTGGGCATATGATTTCAGAGTGATCATCATATTTAGCAGTGCTCCGTGTGGACACAGCACCTTTCAGTCATGGCTCACGAAACTCCCTGCCAGCAGCTGTATCGTGCTTTCTTTGAGTTAAAGACTTCAGGGGTTCCCAGCGGAAGGCGCTGCTGTTTCTTCTTGCCTGTTATTGTGGCTGGTGCCAAACAGTACCAATATTGGGTGTGTAAGGAAAGCCTGGATTTGTTTTCTTGAGCTTCCTGACTTTGGAGTGCATCTCTGCATTCTGACTGTCGCCTGCTGTCCTTGCTCCTGAGCTTACTCTGTGAGGTGCTGGGTGCCTGTGGCTCTGAGCAAAGCCAGTGGCCACAACGGCTGCAGGACATGATTCAGGATCTCTGCTTTCTGCTGTGCACAGAGCAGGGTGCTGGCAGCTCTGCTGAGGACCGAAACACTCAGCATACAAGGAAAGGGCCAGGGGCTGCGGCTGCCTCTGCACCAATTCCATCCCGTTGCCATCATCAGGTTCATCAGAAAGACGGGAAGCATTTTTGGAAGGCAGCTGACAGGTCTCCAGAGGGGCAGTGTCAATCACGATTAGTTGTTTTGTACTTAATTATTTTCTGGGGCTTTGGCACCAGCATGAGCTCAGCAGGCCCCCGCTCCCGGCTCGCGCTCAGCACTCTGCTCTCCAGAATGACCCCACTGTGACACATGGAAGGTGAAAGCAAACAAAAGCAGCCTCTTAACATGGGCTTGCTGGCATGAGCACAAATGTTTTCTAAGCACGTGGCTCTGCCCATAGTCTCAGGTGTGCATTTTCCTGGAGCTGAGTCTATCCAGCAACTTTTGGATGCAGCCAGTGGCATCACCCGCTGAGCCCCTGTGCCACGGGGGGCATCTTCCCTGATGTGCTCTGCCTCATCCCCACTTGCTTCTGTCTCCAAAGAGCCCTGCCTGTACATCCCGAGGAGGGGCTCAGTGTGCAGCTCCTGCTGTGCCTTCCTGCTGGTCTGCCTGCCCCAGCCCCTCTCCTGATGGCTTGTGTGTGAGAGTCGGCAAGCACAGCGGAGCTGTTCTCCTCCCAGCAGCACACTGATCTATTATTTAGCGGCAGTGGAGATTAATATTTGATTGAACAGGGGGTAAGAAAGGGCCTGTGTGCTTGGGCATCACTCTCATACTGGGACAATGCCGTCCTTCTCAGGGGGATCCTGGGGTGCCACAGGGCTGAGCTGTTGGCAGTAGCCAGCTCCTTGCTGGGCTTGTTAGCAGCATGGGGTGAGTGGTTCCTGTTGCACCCACCCATGGCTGCTCTTTTGGTGTTGGTTGCTTAGCTTCTCTTCTTCCTAGGAGGCTCTGGCCTTTGGGGAGCTGCTCAACACCTCTGCAGGACCACATCTCAGGCTGTGCCTCTTTTTTCCAATTAAAACTTTCCAGGTTCCACACTCCTGCTGAGTGAAGGTGAAGTGGGATTGCTGCACTGTCTTTGGGGGAGCAGAGCAGGGAGAGGGTTCCACAGGATGGCTGGCACCTTGCTGCACACCAGAGGGAAGAGCCATGCTGCATCTGGCTGCTGGGCTGGCTTCTGATGCAAGGACTGGCCTTAGAAAGTGGGATGCAGGGTTGGACAGCAGCTTGCTGGTGGACCAAGTAAGGTGCCTGGTGCAGGATGGAGAAGTGGGTGCAAGGGCTGCTGGAAATCTCTGTGCCCAGATGAGAGCTGAACCCATGCTTATCCACAAGGCATCTTATGCCACAAGGCACAGTGAGGCTCTGGTTGCCCTCTTGGAGCCCCACCATCATCCCTGCCCAGGCTGGGTGGCTGTGCTAGAGCCAGCCTTGTCCTGCGTGGAGGAGAGCGAGGCTGCTGAAATGGGCACATTTGCCAGCTGAGGCTGCTCAAACACAATCAGAAGTGACAGAGCAGTGAAAAAGTGCCTGGCTGAAAGGAAACAGGACTCGATTTATTGTCGCCCCTGGAACAAGGGAGAGGGAAGTGGCTGTAGGGGTGAGGACAGTAGTGCTTTTCTGCAGTGGCGGATCAAAGCAGCGTGTAGGTCAGCTCCATCCCTGTCTTTCGCTTCCTGAGCTGCTGCTCCTCCCCTCAGGAGCATCTTTTCTTTGTGTCATGGGGTTATGTGACAGCTTCCCAGCTGAAGTGGTCCCCAGGGTAACAAGGGAGGGTGATGGACAGGCAGAGCAGGGCTTGGGTGGTCAGAGTCACTCTTGTCCCAGGTTTCAGAGGGACACAAGATAACCATGAATGATGCAAGCTGTCATGAAGCCATGGTGGGCATGTGCCTTTGTCACCTCAGGCCACCAGTGTGGCCAAATCAGATCTTTTTCTTTTTTGAGATTGCTGCCAGAGACCTTGCAAACCCTTAGTTGGCTTCAAGGATAAGGACCTTGAAGGCTCCCCTCCATCCCCTGTATCTGTCTGCCTTCCCAGAGGCTCCCTGCTGACCCACTGCCCTGCCGAGGTCCTGCCGGGTAGAACAGCATCTCCCAGTTCTCTGCCACCCATCCAGTGGCCACCATGCCTTTCAGCAAGCACTTTGCCCGCAGTATGCAGAACATCCTTTTTAACTTAGAGTAAATGTAGTTTCCATGTCAAGATGCTCCCTGGTGCTGCAGCAAAGGCAGTGCGTGTTGGCAGGTGATGGGTCTTTTCTCCTTTTTGGGGGGGGATCATCAGGCATCATTTGGGTGGGTGGCCCTGGACTTGGCTTGTGCCAGCTGCTGAAGGGATTGCATGCCATGGCCAAGGAAAGGGTTCTGCTCTCTGGTGTTCACCAGGCAGGATAAAGCCGATAGGCCATACAGGCAGGATGAAGCAGTGAGTATGCTGTTTCTGTGGGTCTTTCCCAGTTGCTCCTTGTCCTGCCACCACTACTTGGTCCTCTCTGAATGGCTGTCACTCAGCCAGCAGGACTGTGGGATGATGCCACTCAGAGGACTGCCATTTACCAGCAGTTCTGCTGACAGCTGCCCAGGCCAGGAAAAAAAACAGCAAAAAAGGGGATTTAAGGGTGCTCAGAAGGAAAGTTCCCTCCCTGGTAGGTCTCCTCCAGGAGACTGGTGGCTGCAGGAGGCTGGAGATGTCTGCAGGAGCCCTGTGCCAGTGGCTGGGGAGGGAGCATGCTGGGAGGAGCCACTGTGAAGGAGTCACCTCTCCTCTCTCACTTCGGTCATGACCATCCTCTTTGCCACCTCCTGACCCCACTGGCGGCAAGCTGCTGGTCCTCCACCAGTGCTGCTGCCAACCAGGACTCCTTGTTTCCCTCCTGGTTCAGGGCATGATACTCAGGAGGCACATCCAGCCCAGCATGGATGAAGCCTCAAGGGAAGTAGAGAAGCCCAGCATATGCTTCCCAATGGTGCAAGGCAGGCAGGGTGGAATGGGGAGGTGATGAAGGAGCCCATCCAGTGTTTACTGCCACTGTCATAATTAACAACATGGATCTGTGATGTCATGATCAGTGATGCGGATCTGTGATGTCATAATTAACAGTGAATAATGTTTTATAGGAAGGTTTGTCTCCCAGCTGGTTGCTCTGGCAACAGCACCAAGCTGCTGGTCTCGATCTGACTCTCATCTCGTTGTCAATTCCTTAATTGTGTTGTCGATGGAGCTAACAAGGCCAGGAGCCAGGGAATGGGGAGGTGGGCTGAGGGCTTTGCCTGGGCAGGCAGGGGCAGCCCCTGGAGGGGCTTAGCCATGAGAGGGGCTGTGGCTGGCAGCCGGGTGATGTGAGGAAGTGCCAAGGGTGCCAGGAAGGCTGGCCCCAAGTCCCACCTGCTGCTGTCCTGCCAGCCTCCACAGTGCTGCAGGAGTTAGCGGCTGCAGGGCAGCCATGCACTGAGGAGGAGTGGGTTGTAGGAGATGCTGAGGGCCTGTTAGGATACCCTGGCAGGAGGCTGGACATACACTGGCCTGTGGTGACAGCACATCTGAGGACCTGCCCATGTGCCACCATCCCCTTGGGTGCTCCAGCAGTGCTGCAGTTTCCCGTCACTCTTGCAGCACAGCATCCCACTGCTTGCTTTGTTCCTAGTGCTGTGACAGGGGCAGGGTTATCACTCACCTCCCAGGCTGGGCATCCTCCCTGAGGAAGGGCTTGCCAGGTCCTCCATGTGTGCACAGAAAGCAGCAGTGGGGCTGCTGCAGAAGGTCAGGGGTTGTTTGTGCCAGCTTGAAGGTGCCCTGATTTCAGGGAGCTGCTTGCGTCCAGCTGCTGCTTGTCTTAGTATGGTCACTTTTAGAGGCCCAGGAGGTAACAAGGTAGGAGCTGGTCTCCACTGTGACCTGATGTCTTTGAGGTTTCTGGTGGTTTCAAAGGCTGTGTCACGCTATCCCAATCTCATCTTTCCAACAGCATTCACTCCCTCCCCTTCTCTCTCCATCTCAGGGGCCGACACCCTGAGTGAGGCGAGCTCCATCAGCATAGAGGCCACAACTGACAGCAGAGACACCTCAGTGGCCACCTCCATCCTGCTGCCATTCCCAGCCAGCCGTGGCCGGGAGGAAGCAGACAACCGCAGCGAGCACAGCTACAGTGAGTCGGGAGCCAGCGGTTCCTCCTTTGAGGAGCTGGACCTGGAGGTCACCGTGGACGGGGAAGGAGCCCCAGGCCTGCTGCCCGATGAGGGCTGCGCAGGCAGCCAGGAGGTCACAGACAAGTGGACCAAGGAGCCCATCGCTGCTGAGAGAGGAGAAGAGTGATGTGGAGACCTGGCTGCATCGCCTCCACTGGGGTCTGAGTTACTGGGAAACAGTTGCCTTTCCCACCTCCTTCCTCTCCAGCCAAGAGATTTTGGTTACTGATTTCCTCCGAGACCTGTTCTCCCTCTTTGCCGAAAGGGTGTTTGGCCATTTCAGGGATGCCGGGAGGTGGGGGGGTCTCCTGCAGTGCCTGGTGTTGCAGGGTGGGTGCAGGCTGGGGGGGCAGTGAAATACATTTGCCGTTTGTGTGTCTCTAGATGCATTGCATATTCCTTGCAGGAGTTTTGGGGGGTGGGGGTGGATGGCAGAGGTGTCCCCCGGCATCTCTGCTGGTGCCCCTCTCACCCGCAGCTTCTCTCTGCTGCACTGCCACACATTTTCTAGCACCAAAGAGCCGTGAGTAGGGTTGGATTTGTTCCCCTCTTCCCCTTGCTGAAAAATGGAAACATCCCATGTAAACCTGGTCTTCCTGGCACTGCCACGGGTGCTTTTTGGGGTCTGTAATAAAGTGGATGCTTTTCCTCACTGGTGGCCGGTGGCGTTGCTGACTGCCTCTTGGCCCATCATGGTGGGAGCAGGCTGTGGGTGGAGGGTGCGGTGGGCTGCACCCTACATCCCCCAGCTGAGCTGGGGAGCGTTCCGAAAGGCTCTGCATCCCATGAGCAAGCATGCTCAGGCTTGGTCCATGTGTGGCCAACCCAGCAGGCCCACAGGGTCTATCCCCAGCCCTGCAAGCTGCAGGGTGAGCAGGGAAGGATCTCAATGATGAGCTGAGCTGGGCTTGAGGGAGGTGGCATCCCTGCTCCTTTTGGAACCTGACAGAAGGAAAGCCAGTAAAGGCAGGTCCTGGGCTGCTGGTAGGCCTGGCACCACTGTGCTTCTCCTGCCTGTGCAATGCCTCCCTGGCATCCCATCCTTCTAGTCTTGCAGCCATGGATTGCAGAGGGCTGCCCAGGCTGGTCCCAATCCCTGTCCCACAGCTGGGGACAAAGGAGGGACCTTCACAGTGCCCTGCAGCAATGCCAGGTGCCAGAGCACTTCACCAGGCTGGCAGAGCTCAACCCCTGCTCCAGGAATCCCAGTGCCTCTGGCAACCCAGGGCTTTTTCCCTGGCAGTCAGATGTGGTGGCCCAAAACCAGGGCTTGGGATTGTGGTTCTAGGGACAGGGGAGGCCTGGCTGTCCCTCCGTGGTGAGGATATGTCCTCCCTGGCTTGGCAAGGTCATGATTAGTCCTCAGCCAGTGATTGACATGAAATTGTTCATAAATATTTTGTGCTCTGAGTGATAAAATATTAAACTCCTCCAGCCCACATGGAAAAATATTGCTCTTCACAGTGTTTATCTTTGTTGCCAGTTATTACAAAACTGCCAAGCCCCCTGAAATATTTATGTCTGGCTGAGGCTCCAGGGGGGTTGGAGCCAACCAGCAGATCCTAATGCCACTTGTCCCCTAACCCCACCACAGATGGGGGCCAGGGAGACTTTGCCATCATCCTCCCTCAGCAGCCAGAGGATGCAGCTGGTGATGGGGCTCATGCCAGGTCCCATGTGGCAGGGACAAGGGGCGGTGGCAGTGCAGCATCCTCCAGTGTAGCACGCCTCCAGTCCTGCCTGGCTCACTGTCCAAGGTCCTCCAACCCGGGCACCTTCCTCTCCCCAGTGCCCCGCTCCATCTGTGGTGAGTCTTGAAAGAAGATAGGATGGTGGGGTCTGGGGTCCTGGTGCCATGGGACCTGGGGGACCTTGTCACAAATCAGGACTGCTGGGAGGTGCAGACTGGGTCTGACTTCCTGACGTGCCGTAACACTCAGCCTACAAGCACAGCAGCTGGCAGTGGGGAAACTGAGGCACAGGGTGGTGCCCCAGAGCACCCCTGGCCCCTGCCCATCCCTGTCATCCCCTGTCCCATTCTTGTCCCTGAGTCAGGAGCTCTCTGGGACAGCTGGGATGCCAGCACAGGGCAGACACATCATGGCAGGATCCTGGGCAGCCAAAGGGCTCCAGAGAAGGTTTGGACAAGTGGTGGAGACCTGGAACACTTAATCCAGCTTCTGCCCCTGTCTTCAGATTGTCCAAAGACTTCCGCCCAGCTTGGTCCTTGGGCCGATGGTGAGTACCTGGGGGCTGTGAGGAGTTCAGGTGGGCAGTGGGGTAATGCTGGAGCTTGGGGAGACTACAAGGGCTTTGGAGAACAGGGGGCCGGGGGTGGTGGTGTCTGTGTCGGGGGGTGAACAGCCCCAGGGCCGGGGGGGGGTGTGTGGTGTGTCTGTGTCGGGGGGGTGAACAGCCCCAGGGACACCAGGTTGTGGCTGTAGAGCAGGACGAAAGCTGGGACCCCCCTTGCTGGGCTGGGCTGGGGCTGGGGAAGTAGGAGCTGAGCTGTGCCGTGCCGGGTCCTGCCTGCTCTGGTCGGGTCCTGCCTCTGCCCAGCCTGGATCTGGCCACTCGTTGCCTGCGTCTGGCTGAGTTCTGTCTGTGCCCTGGCTCCGTCTGGTCATCCTTTGCCTGAATCTGGCCGTGCTTTACCTGTACCCCCCCCCTTCTCTGGCCGCGTCCTACCTGTGCCCTGCCCGTGCCCTGCCCGCATCCGTCCATGTCCTCCCCGGCTTAGCCCAAGCCCCGCCAGCCTCCGGCATTGCCGGTGCCTTGCCCGGCGGTGCCAGGAGCGGGCGGGGGACAGGCGGAACGGCCCCGGGGTGCCGGTACCCGGCGGGCCGGGCCCGGGCAGGGGCGGGGGCCGGGGCCGGGCCGGGAGGAGGGCGGAGCGGCTCCGCTCAGCTGGGGCTGGCGGAGTGTCAGAGGCGGCGGCGGGAGGCGGCGGTAGCTGCAGCTCTGAGGCAGCCGCTGCACCGGTCACTGGCACCGGCTCCCGCTCCCGGCACCGACTCTCGGCGCAGCCCCTGGGGCCCAGGTAAGGGCTGCGGTCCCACCCTGGCGCTCCCACCCTGGCGCTCCCGTGGCCTCGGGAAGCGTCGTGCCCCGGCGGCGCCCAGGCATCCCCAAAGCCCCGGTGCCCTGGGCGACCTGCGAACCCCCGCAGCCGTGGGGACCGCGACCCGGCGTGTCTCGGCGGCCAGTGCGGGTGCCCGGGCTCGGCTTCCCTCCCGCAGCCCCGGGAGCCCAGCTTCGGGCGCTGGCACCGGCTGGGCCGGGGGTGCGGGCGGGGAACACCGAGGCCGGTCCCCATGGCTCTCCAATGCCCGGAGCAAGACGCCGGACCGCGGGGATCCGGGAGGAGAGCTCAGGCTGTCTCCATCCTCCCGCCCCGGTGCCCCAGCAGCGCCGCCCCCCCGCGGGACCCCGGCGTCCCCGGGCAGGGTCTGCCCGCCGTCCCCGGGGAGGGAAGGGGGTTGACTGCCCTGCCCTGCCGCTGCCCCGCGGGTCCCTCCTCCGGCTGATCCAGCCCGGGGAGAGCAGCGGCTTACGGGGAGCAGCCGGACCCCCGGGAGGGTTTGGGATGGGATTTGGGGCTGATGGGCTGAAGCCATGACCGGTGGGGCGCTGCAGTGGGGCAGGTCCCCCTCAGCTCCTCTCGCTTTCACCTCCCTGACTCCCCGCGCTCCCACCAGAGCAGCCGAATGGCCACAGCGGTGGTGGGCAGTGGGACAAACGCCCCGGGGAAGGCTGTTTGACCCACGGGGCTCGCAGGCCGTGGGGCGGAAGGGAGGAGTAGGGGTTCTGGCAGAGCTTGGTGGTAGTGGGGCTTCCGGGGACCCCCAGTGGAGGTGGTGATGGCAGCTTGTGAAGCTGGGCTCACCTAGCACCCTGCCAGCACTCTCACCGTGCCCCATGCCACCCCTAAGGGTGCTGGTGTCAGGGGATCAGGTCTCCTGGCAGCTGTAGGTGGGGGGCATGTAGGAGCATTGGCACCTTCTCACCCATCCTACTCACCAATGCTTTCTGGGGGGGAGGCTGCCAGCAGTGGGCAGGAGCCTTCCTGCCACACTATGGCCTTCGGGCTGGACTTCGCTGTGCCCTGCCTGGTGTTTCACTTTTCCAGATGTCCTCCAGATGTTGCATCCTCCCCTGGCACCATGCCAGCCCAGATGAGCAGCTCTGGGGATGGCTGCAGCCCTTCACTTCAGGGCTCACTGCAGGGTGGGTGATGCTTTGCCCTTTTGGGAGCGCTTTACCTGAACATGCCTTTTGTCTGGCGGGTGCTGCCAGCTGCCCCAGAAGAGCTGGACCCCAGGGAGCTGGGCTCCCGGTGCTGGTGGCACCCTGTGCTGGGCTCAGCCTGCCTGATGTGTTCCATCAATAACCCATATGCCTCCAGCCTCTTTTCTGCTTGAGGAAGCCCTGGGTCCCTCAAAAGCATTGACTGACAGAAATAAGAGACCCTTCCATGGTCTCTTTCCCAAACTTCAATTTGGGGGTCAGGTAGAGATGCCCTGAGCTGGCTGGGGGCTCACTGCAGGCAGGCATCACCCAGGGCAGGTGCTTTGGGTCATGTAGCAGGAGGAGGTCTGTGTGCACCCCCCCACCCACCCTGCTATATGGTCCATGTCCAATGTCTGCCCACATGCCCAGGGCATCACCACCAGCTCCAGCTTGTGGAAGGCTTGATGGAGGGCTCCTCCAGCCAGGCATTGCCTGTTCAGGAGCGCCACAAGGCCATTGAGGGCTGTCCTGCTCCTGCTTGTGGAGAGCAGCCTCGGTACCAGCTGTGGGGAGGTACAGGGGGGCGGCACCCTCCAGCAGCACCCCATCTCCCACCCATGTGTTCCCATGAGCACCCTCCTCTGCCAGCCTGCAGGTGAGCCCCAGGACCTGCTGTGGCACTGGCACTTTTCCATGCTGGAGCAGCCTGAGCTTTCTGGGCTGTCAGGGGGTATCCTTCTCCCATGGCTCCCAAAACACCAGCTCTGTGGGATTTCAGCAGGCAGCTTCAAATGGGAAACAAATCTCTCTTGTGGTTTGGGAAAAGACAACTGCTCTCCAAGGGGACTGCATCTCCTGCCAAAACAAGGCCTGCCTGCTGCAAAAGCCTTTGATTCCCCCGCGCCTCCGTGCTTTCTGCAGAGGGAGTCAGCAAACCTGGCTCTTACTTTTACTGAAATCTCTGAATTTAGTACACGGAGAAGGAAGGGGCGGTGGTGAGAGAACAGGCTCTAAGGCACCACGGCTGCTGGAGCCCACCCCGCGCATCACTGCGGGAGGACAAAGCCAGCAGCATGTCCCTGCTCTGGCCCCGGGGTGCCATGGCCAGCACAGAGGTCAATACCAAGGCAGGTGGGCTCCAGGAGTATGGAACGGGGAGTAAAATAGAGTGGTGGCTGGGTGCTGGGGACACAGTGGGCTCATGGCCGGTTGATTTTGGCTGGAGGCTGGGAGCTGTTGGCACCCCTCAGGCTGCTGCATGGGTCAGGGGCTCGGCTTGGAGCTGACCCTGCCCTTGGTGATATCCCTGCCACGGGTGACCACCCTGGCTACTTACCCGTCTCGATGCTGTAGGGGCCAGCAAGCTGCCCCCTGGCAGGCTGCGCAGCCCGGTGCTGCCGCAGGAATCAGCTCTGTGCGCCC